GTTAATATGCCTGGTTGCGGTGCTTATCGCTGTCAGATCTGGAGGCGACGATGATAGGACATTGCGGCCATCTCCACTGTTGATGGGATGGTGCTATTATCGTAGTCGTCGACTCCGTCTTGCGTCCCAAGATTATTTTCACAGACTCCAATGTTATCTACACAGTATTGTCTTCTCCATCGGCACTGATGGTGTTTTAAAGAGTTAGCGGCGTTTCTTTTTCTGTTCATGTCATCGTAAAAAAATTCGGCATTAATTGGTGAATCTGGTTACGGCAAATAGTTATACGGCGTCTCTTTTTAGTAGAAAACCTAGAGAGTTTTCCTTATACGGCGCTAATTGGTGAATCTGGATACCGTATAGCTATTCGTCGTTAAGAGAAATAGGTTTCTCATAATAGCCCAAATATTAACAAACGATTGAGAGAATTTGCGACAAGTCTAGTATATTATTGAATTGTGGATCCCTTTCAAAGAGAAAGACAAGGTGTATTTATACGTGGTTTAGTCGGTCGACTCAACTTATTGAGATAAGAAAAAGTTCATAATTCTAAATAATTTTATATTTCTCGTGTTGATTTTTTTTTCTCGGAAATTCCCAGATCGGCTGAACATTGTGGGCTTTCGGGCCGAAGTCGTCTTTCAGGCCGAATTTCCCTTCATGGACCTAGCTCGTATGCCTCTTTGGTAAGAATCACTTCGGATCTAAGTCGGGTCTTTAGGTTGGTGCTAAACCCGTTAGCATCACTAAACATGAAGGTAACCCTAGCTAAGCTTCACACAATAGACACTGTGGGAGTCGAATCTCATAATTAGATTTGTCTTCTTAACTTTTCTAGGGTTTGAAAACTTATGCGGAATACCACTAAAAACGAAAGATTTCAATAGAGGTTTTATTAAGCTGTTAAAAAAGCTGTTGCAGAATACAAGTATTTATCTAATAAATTTTGGATCCCCTCAGTGGAAGATGTACATATGTATATATACTAGTCTAAGTAGGCTAGGTTAAGCCTAAAACGATAAGAAAATTCCTTCGAGATTTTTTTTTTTCCGCGGAAGGCTTCGTAGAAATTTTCCTTTATTCACGGAAAGTTCTAAGTCGGCTAGCTCTTGGGCCTGATCTATATCCACTTACTCTGATACAGGCCCAGCGGACAGTCTGTTAAACATTGGCTCACCGATTTAATGTCAAACCGTTGTCTTGATAAACTACCCACCGTTTAACTCAACATTTACTTATTTTCAGGATTGTTGATTCCGATGGGAGAAATTTTACACCAATAGTTAGCCTCCAAGCTCGGCAGCGTCAGTGATGATGGTGTCGAGGTAAAGAGACCTTGTTAAGTTTGAATCGACAATCTTGTTTAACGTTTTGAGAGTGGAGAGATCCGCCGTGGGTATGGCCGAGTTATTCTTCTCAACGGCTCGTCGTCTTGACTTGTGGAAAAGCGTTGTTAATTTCTTATGTGAATCGCCATTTGACGATGACGGAAGATGATGACGCCGATCTATTGAAACACAACGTCGAACCATTGGAGGAAATGATGTCGAAGCGTGGAGATAAGAGATGTCGAGCCGTGATGATCTTGAAGATGAGGCGAACTGTTGTCCAATAGTGTGAACCGTTTTGAAGATGACGAGTCAAGTTTATCGATGGCTCGCCACTTTGATTTGTAGAAAACAAGTTGTTTTCATTCCTCTAGGCCTCACCGTTTGATGGTGGTAGAGGATGATGTCAAATTGATCCGATGGCTATCCGTTGATGATGAATAGCGACTAACCATTTCTGAAATGATGGTAGACCATTTTTCTTCTTTCTCAAGATGGACTGGCCATTTTTCGAAGATAAGCCACCGCGACAAGACTTAAATATTTGTGATGAGTATGACGAGGCGCAACAAGACTTAAACATTTTTGATGTGATGTGAAAATCCACGGCGAAGCGACGTCATCTTGGATAAGTGTGACGATCCACGGCGAGACAATATCATCTTTGATGAATGTTACGAGAGGCGGCGAGACTTGAACATCTTTGATGAGATGTGACGATCTGCGCAAGACAACATCATCTTTGATGTTTGACGAGCCGCGGCGAGACTTGAACATCTTTGAGATATGACGATCCTCGGCGAGACGACATCATCTTTGATAAGTATGACGATCCGCGGTGAGACTTGAACATCTTTGATGAGATGTGACGATCTGCGGTGAGATGACATCATCTTTGATGTATGACGTTCCGCGGCGAGGCACCGATCCATTGTTGACGTAATGCCGAGGCAAGGGAGACATAATGCCGATCCCATTGAAGACTTGATGCCGAGGCGTTTTGTCATGATGCCGAACCGCAGGAATGTGACATCTCAAAGATGGTGACGAGCCGCGGATAACGTAGGGCCGGTTCGCTGCTCAAGCGGTGAGCCCCTATTTTACTTAGAAAAACAATTTTTTTTTGTTATGTTTTGTAGAAAAATCTATTCACGGTTGTCCCTTGTTTGTGTCTATCCGTCTTGATGAATTGATGTTGAACCATTCTTCGTAATGGCTCATCGTTATTTTTGGGGATGGTATCAAGCTGTTTTAAAGATAGGCCGAGCCATATTATCAAGTGTGCCGATCCGTGTTGTATAGTTCAGATTGGTTCATTATCGCAGCCTTATGACACATCTCTACCATAATTGATGTAACTTTCGTACCGTCGATCCAAATGATTTCAATCTTCTTTTGGATGATAGTTGACTCATTTATCTATCTCCTGACAAAACTTCAGCCCGTTGTGTTTTTAGTTCGGCTCCTACCGATCCGATCTCTTCAGATCAGCTGCGATAATCCCATATCGGTGTGTCCTTAGTAACTCAGGTGTATCTTTCTAACCACAACTCCAAATGATCTTATTCCAACGCCATTGGAATGCTAACTCAAGATCTTTCTCTTGAGTATGGATGCCGATCCGTTTTTATGATTGTGCCGAAGCGGTGAATTGTTTAAGGTGGTGTCGATCCGCTCTCCATGTTGGTGCCAACCCGTGGAAGGAGTGCGCCGAGTCGTGATACACTCGGTGCTGACCCGTGGGGGATTTGGTGTCAAGCTGTTAAAATGGCTCGCTCATACCACCTCCTTTAAATAACGGCTTGCCGCAATTCTTTTGAATTCCTTTGAGACCGAATGACTCGCCCTTAATTTTGCCTTAGAAATATAAATTTTTTCTTTGAGAACGACTCGCCCTTAACTTTATACTTAGAAAAAATTTCATCTTTTTGAGAACGAAGATGTTGATAATGGAGATATCGATCCATTCATGTTAAGGGCACGTCGAACCGTTCGTGCTTTGGGCAAGCCAATTCATCTTTGCTAATGGAGTGATTCGTCTCTAAAAGCGAGCCGATTCGTCTATGCTAAGAATGAGTCAAGTTTTCTAAGATAAAGGCATGCCGATCCATTGCATGATGAGCGCGTCGATCTGTTGAGGATTATGATTCGTTTCGCTAAAGAGTATCGCCGATTCGTTTGAGTGGAACTCTAACAAACACGTCGTGGCTTGTATTTCGATGTCGAACCGTTTTAGAGATGAGGATAGCCGCTTTGAAGACAAGGCAAGCCATTTTTTAAGACGAGGTAAAAACAAACAAACCATTTTTTAAGATCGACCAGTGACACCGATCCGCTCGCTGTTGACACGTTTCTGTTGATATCTCATCCGCCGCTCCAGGGAGTTAGGTCGGTATTTAGATCGAGCAGATGGATTCGGGGAACCCTTTGCACCTCTGCGGGTGTTAAAAGGTTTAGAACTGTTTGTATGACGCGATCTACATCTCGCCACGCAAATCCCATACCTCTCCCACGGCTCGCCATAGCGAGGGAGTCGAGCCGGTTCGTCACCGTGTTGTTGAACGCATCCTGCTCCTTTGATTTCCTAAGGATCTCCTTTAAACATGTCCTTTATCTGAGCCAGAGTTTCAGGGCTTGCCTCTACGGCGAGCGGTGTGTTTCTCTGCGGATCCATCCGCCGTAGTGTTCTTTTCCCAGATCCGTCCTCTGCAGATGCTTTTGGGTCGTTGTCGTTGTGATCTCCGTCGATGGCCATCTCTTAGGATCTTAACGTTGTGGTTCTTTAGAGTAACAAGCTTTCTGTCCCCTTAGACGGTGCCAAATTGTGGGAGGAGAATCTCACAATTAGATTTGTCTTCGTAACCTTTCTAGGGTCTGAAAACTTCTGCGAAAAATCACTAAAAACTATAGATCTAAAGAGAGGTTTTTATTAAGCTATTAAAAAAACTGTTGCAGAATACAAGTATTTGGTTAATAAATTTTGAATAACCTCTGCGGAGGATGTACATATGTATATATACTAGTCTAAGTAGGCTAGGACTAAGCCTAAAATGATAAGCAAAACTTTCTTTTCCTTCAAGATTTCTCTTTGTCCGCGGAGGACTTCTTAGAGATTTCTCTTTAGTCGCTGAAAGTTCTAAGTAGGTTACCCACTAAATCGGCTAGCTCTTAGGCCTGCTCCATATCGACTTACTCTGATAAAAGCCCAGCGGACGGTCGGTTAAACATCGGCTCGCCGGTTTAATATCAAACCATTATTGTTTTGATAAACTGCTGCCGTTTAACTCAACACTTAGTCATTTTCAGGATTGTTGATTCCGGTGAGAGGAATTTGACGCCAACAAACATCACCATCAATCTCAAAATATTTTAAAGCAGACCTAATCATTGTAGGTTATATCTTTGTTGATGACACTACTAAGATATCCTCCTTTTTCACCATTAGTTATGAACTCTCAATGACGACCTCTGCAGAGGCAAGCTCACCAACCATATTCCACTAGGTATGTTTTATATCACATGAAGGCTCAGTGAAATGTTCATTAGAATTGAAACTTTCATCGATGTTAATGTACTCACTAGTGTTTTCCTCAACTAAGGTATTTGGAGAAGACATGTATGATGGTTTTGGTGGGTGATGCACTCTTTGCTTTGGTGTTTGAACACGTGATGATTGTGTCGAGTGGGTTTGATATGACATTTCAATGCATAGAAAGTCATCATGGATAAGAGAGGTCGCGTGGATCATCTCCACCGCGTGCTGCCTACCAACTTGCAAGCTAGGTTGCATGGAAACGGAAACAGATTCGTGGAAATGAAACGTTTGGAAACGTGGAAACGATATTTTAAAAAAATTTAGGAAATGGGTACGTTTCGGAAACGCACACACACATACATATATATATGAATTAACAACATCAAAAACAATATTTAAAACAATTTGAATATTCAATATTAATTCTTCGAAACGGGAAACGCTTCTCGGACGGAGTTTCAATGCAACCTAGCTTGCAAGCAAGCTTGCATGTAGGGAAGGTACAATTTTGGGGACTCTTGTATCTTCTTCCTTTGGATTGTATGTCGAAGAATGTCTATGCAGCTGGACATGTGATTGACCTATGCATCGAAGAATTAAATCCATACAATAGTTCATCCACCTCCACAAAACAGCAACATTGGTGGAGGCAGCAACGGTTTTTAGGGTTATAATGGGAGGAGATGTATTAGGCTAATGTTCCAAGTGGTTGATTACATTCTTGACGTAACGAAATCTACTAAGGAAATGGGTACGAACCCCATAAAAGACAGTATGA